ACATACATACATACATACATACATACATACATACATACATACATACATACATACACACATACATCCGAGAAACACAAAAGTGTGTTCACGAGTATATTGAAGTGCATCAACATTAGTGAAATGGACATGTATTGAATATCAAATGAAAAGAGAATATTATTGTCTCTGCAATGAACAGCATCTTCTGATTATAATTTCAGATTGGAAAACAGAATAGTTACATAATCACCACTTAAAACCTTGGCTAAACATTACTCGAGCTCTTTAGTATCAATGGTTTTTTTTCCTTTGGGGGGTTCAAAAATGATTCTTGGTTAAGCTACCCTTTTAGTTTTTGTTGTTTCTATTTGCTCCAAGGGGGGGGGTAGGAGCGAATGGTTTCGTGTCGAGCACGAGTCCTTTTAAACTTGGACTGTTTTATTAGATTTTTGAAATAATCATCTGTCAGTGATGAACTGAGGCTACGAAGCTGCCATGGTTTTGGGTGGTCTGGGGTGGAATGAACAACAACCCCCCCTCATGAGAATCACCGGATGGTGAGGTTTAGTGGACTACATCGCACAACAGCAGGAATGTTCTGTCTTACCCTTATTTTCGTCATGGTGTCATTCGAGTAGACATCTCCGTGCATAGCTAAGAACTTTCTCACCAATGTCACTAGATAATTTTTGGAAAACCAAATCAAATCAGCGTAGGACTGGTCACCAGTAAATAGCCCCACTAGGAATCTCACAGGTAAGTGAAGAGTGAAGTACCATGAAAATGTAGCTGAAGAAAAGCAATTTTGCTCCCAATTCAGACCCTTTTTACAACTCGCTGTGATATTTGGGAAGAAATGACAGATCATTATGTCAAGAACTTTACAGATTTGATAGGTTCCAAAGCAAAATAATACAAATTTCGAGCCAAAATATAAAAATAGAATCTTGTTTATTGCAATACAAAATTCTCCATTCATTGGATAATAATACATAGCGTTTGTATAGCGCAAATCCCCGCTCAACAACAAGCTATTTGCGCTTCACTATCTATACTATTACCCCAGCTGACCTGAGAGCATTCTGAAACAAACTCAACTTCCTGGGAAGCATACAGTGCAAGCAGCCATTTAAAGGCGCTAAAACACTAACATACTGTCAAGATCTTACACTGTCTATGGCCGGGTACCCATTCCCACCTACTTGAAGTGACGAAAATTCGTGCAAGGTGCCTTTCCCAAGGACACGACATCGAGCCCGCGGCTCGAACCCCCGACCCCGCAACCTCACGATTACGAGTCCGGTAGCCTAACAACTAGGCCACCGACGCCACCTAATGTATGTCCATTATATCAATATTGATGCTCCTCAATACGCGCCCGAAGACAATTTTACGTTTCTCAGATTTTGCAGAGGTTTGCAAAGCTTGATTATTTTAGTTCAATATTGAGCTACCATCGGGCGTCTCTTAACATAGATGCATCATACTGAAAATATTTTTTTTTATTTCGAAAAGAGTCACTCGGGTGTTTTCTTTCGACCAGAGCAAAGAATAAAACAGAAACGGAAATGGACTCACCATTCCTGCCACGTCGCCGATTGAAACAGCCTTGATCATGGCATTTACCTCTTCCGAAGGAATGCCATTGTCAATGAAACACTTTTGCATTGTCTTCAGCTTGTCGGCGCAAGGGTCAAAGGTTGGAGCTGCCAGGGACACGCCCACAATGCACGTCAAAACCACTGAGCCGGAAGAGTAATAAGTTGGTTTTTAGATGAATCTCTCTCTCTCTCTCTCTCTCTCTCTCTTTCTCTCTCTCTCTCTCTCTTTCTCTCTCTCTCTCTCTCTCTCTCTCTCTCTCTCTCTCTCTCTCTCTCTCTCTCTCTCTCTCCTGGTGTATTTGTTCTTAAGTGTTTGAGCACGTAGAAATTTAAGAGGATGTATGTGGGAATATTTTGCTGTGTATAGGAGGACGACTGGATTGAAATCATCTCACGATTTTAAAAAAATATGTCTAAAAATCTGTTTAAAGGCCTAGTTTACAAAATAGCATACCTCAAGTGGACCAGTTTTATTCTGGCGCAACTCACAAACAAAACTACAAAACTTTAACAGTAATAAATAAATGCAAAATGGCAGAACTCATCCAGACCCCACAATTTTAAAGTTTTAAGCATTATTCCACTACAAGTGTCTGGCAGTCACAAACTAAAATTACATTGCAATTTGTATCGACATTTAATTATATTGTTGTTAAACAGTTGTTGTTTGTTTGGGGATCTTATTTTTCATTTATCTCAAAAGTAGCAAAAATGAGAATGTATTGCTATTTTGCTAGCGCAGTGACGATGCAACAATACATTCTTCATTTGGGGGCTCTCATGGTCTAGAGGTTAATGTGTTCGCCTCTTATCCAATAAGTCCCGGGATCGAATCCTGACAGCTACGGAAAATTTTCTTCTCTAAAATGTCCCCCGTTTACTTCCTTTTCTGCTCTCTTTCAATATTCTGTCATCTGCTTTTATATCCACTTTCTGACCCCCCCCCCCTTCTTTTTTTTGTCCCCTTGCCCCCTCCTCTAGGCTCCTGACTCTGCTAATCGTTTGCTCCTTATTTCTGTCCTTCAGCCACACCCCTGACCTTAGGGTAAGTAAGGTCTAACACCTCGCCTTCTCGGATAAAGGGGAATGCTCTCGGAGGTTCCGTGTTCAGGTTGCACACGTTAATGGTCCCTTGGGGGTAAAAAATGAATAAGAGTAAACCTCTGATGGCACCCGGACAAAATTTGAAATTAATTCCTACCGAACTGAAAATGTTTAATGCGTCTCGCGCGCTCATATGATGACCTTGTGGCGTTATGACGTCCTGATTTGCCGACTTGTGCAATATAAAACTATGTGTTGATTAAGGCTTTCATAAACCTTTAACGACACTAATATTTTGGACTAAGTATTACCAATGTTTTCTTCTTTGTTCTAGTAACATACTGAGGCATTCAGTTGGAAATGGGAACAAAAGTGAGAACGAGTTGAAGGTCGATCTGTCTGTAAACAAGAAGTACGAGAGAGTTTGGTATCTGTTCTTATCTTGTCCCACATTACGACCCACGTTCTGGGTAGATTATTAATCTTTTAAATAATTATTATAATTGCTTTTTCGGGACAGGAGGAGGGGCTGGGTTGTTGTCATCGCTATTGTTCATGCGGTCAAAACTGGTACTGACACCCCATAAGTTTAAGAGCAGCTCGTATTAACTAGCAGAGTCAGCTTTAGTTGAGAAAAAGAAAACAGGTGATCTGCAGTCTAAATGTCGTTAAATTTGAATGATCATAATATCTGGCTGTCACAAAAAGAACGAGAGGGAGTGGAGAATGGGAACGGGATGGGCTGGAACGGAGGGGGAGGGGGGGGGTGGCTTTCAAACTAGATTAATATCAGTAGAAATTTAAAAGACTATCACCATAACGTCTTCTGGTTATAGACGTAAAGAGTAGTTGTACCTGAAGTACCAACTGTTTTGACGTTGTTTTGCAGCCACAACTCTCAACATTGGTCTCGCCTTGGCCAACTAAGAGTAAGAGGAACATTCGAAAAAGAATATCATTATGTGAACTGCACGATGTCGTAATTTCTATTGCTGCTGTCGGAATTGTAACTATTATTATTGCTGTAATCGTCGCTGTCTTTTTTTCCCAATATCTACATGGATGTTGACGATGTTGTTGTTGCTAAATTTTACTCAGTCAGAGACAAACTATGACTTTTCGAATGTGAGACCCGTACAGCAATCTTGTGATAAGAGAGACAAAAGGCCAACTTGTATACTCACCAACGATGTTCATCATGCCTGTTTATTTCTGTACTTGAGAGATCTGCTCAGTTCTTCCAGTAGTGTTGGTGTAACGCTTACTTTCGCCTGGGTTTTATACAGAATTCTGTCTATGGAACAAGGCCTACATTCAAGAGGTTTTTGGTTGAAGTGAAAGGACAAAAATATGTTCTGAGGCTGCATGTTAAAGATAAGAGATTTTTAAAGGTTGAATATACTGGGAAATAAGGGGAGGGGAAGGGTAGAAAAAAGTCTCCATCTGACTTTTCCCAGCCTGATGAACCCAGTTATAAAACACTTACTGACATCTGTGTTTGGGACGACTTTGGATTTTCCCAACGTGGTCAATCAATGCTGACGACCCTGTCTGGTTATTCCCAGTCTGAATAACCAGTCTTGACGACTTTGTCTCAGGCCTTTTTTCCTTGGTACGTATTTTGCATTCGCATTACGCACGAATCCGGATCCCTCTCCATTTTATGTAACACGTTCCATGAGCTACGTTGTACGATTTTTTTTGGTGAGAATACGTATGTAATTTAGCGAGAGCGACCTCACCCGCTCCTCCCACTATGCGTTGACCGTGATCCAGATTCGTTTCGGAGGCAACTCGACGATTTGCAAAAATAATATAGTGTAGGGTGTCGTGTTTTATTATACATTGTATATTGTAGAGTAAAGCCAGGTGGCAGAGCAGTCAGTTATTGTCAAAATTAAGTTTTTAACAGAAACCTAGGAGCTTTTGATTGAGCTAGAGCCCCGTGTTTGTATGATGCGTTGATTCCTTGAGAATTGCGGAGCCCAGGAATCCCAGTAGCATTCCTGGGTTTCCTCTGACGAAGGTGTTTTTTCTGTTTTGACTGAGCCTTTCTTTTCCCATCTAATTTCTGAAAGACCCATTCGTGCAATATCGTTCTATCCCTTTCCTATATATTCCTTCTAGTTAAACTTTACGATGGGGGCTCTCGTGGCCTAGAGGTTAAGGTGTTGGCCTCTCATTCAAAGGTCCCGGGTTGGAATCCGGGTAGCGACCGAAAAATTTTCTTCTCTAAAATTGTCTCCTTTCACCTCCTTTCCTGCTCTCTTGCAATGTTCTGTTGTCTGCTTTCATTTCCACTTTCTGCCCCCCCACCCCTTCACCTCCTTTGCCCCCTCCTCTGGGCTACTGACTCTTTCTGCAGCCTTTCTACTGCTACTCCTTGGCTCCTCCTTACTGCTGTCTTTCTGCCACATCCCTGATCTTCTGGTAGGAAAGATCTACACCTAGCCTTCTCGGACAAGGGCGAAAAATCTCGGAGGGCCCGTGTGCAAGTTGCGCACGTTAAAAAAGATCCCTTGGTGGTCTAAAATCGATAAGAGTAGGCTTCGGCCGCCACCCGAGCAAAATTCAAAATTTCCTACCAACTGAAAATATTAGGTGTGTCCCTCGCGCTCATATGACCTATGCAGTTGCGAGCGCCGTAAAACACTTTACAAAAACAAACAAAAACAAACTTTAGGATACATAGTCGTCACATGCCACGTGACTGGTTTTAAAGGTTTGAATCGGGATTTGGTTTTGCAAACAGTAGTTGGCTGACAGTTGGGCGTGAACTGCTGCCCATATTGGTCCTTACCAAGAGAGGAATTCAGAGCTGGATCGTAAACCCTTTTATCGCTGTTGTCTTTGTTGTTCTGGTGGCTTCGCAAGTTTTTCTTAGCAAATTACAGCACTGTTTTCCTGTGGCCGACCAACGACCTTGTGAACTGGTTTCTCTGTAGCCTTTTTCATTCCAATGACTCACAAGGTGGTAGACATTTTGGTAGTAGTTATGGTGCCTCCCGTCGCAAAAACAGTCCTTTATTTGTTCAATGAAACACTTATGCTACCGAGGTCCTCTTCTAACCTCCATCCAATGACCCCTGTAATCTCTGATTAATACTAAGAGTTCAAGTAGACAATCTTGACATGCCCTGAGATTCCTACTAATGCAACGAATAATAGCACAAGTGCTATGCAATATTGAGTTGGTCTCATCGACCATAGAAAAAGCCACAAGTCGACTAAACCTTTAGTTCCTGTAATCCTTCTATTTCGCTTGAGATAAAATTCTCTTATGTGGATGTAATGATCATCGACAGACACTGGCGTACGACGAACTATTATTATTATTATTATTATTATTGTATTGTAATATGCGTAGAAATCGAAACAGAAAAAGAGGCGAGGAAGCAGGTTTGAACGAAAATAAAATTATTTCTTTATTTAACAGTACCCCCAGCAGCTCCCTACCCCCTCCAATAAAAAAGATAGATAATTGATATGAAATATTTTTCAATTCCAGTTTTTAGATATTCACAACCAAATTTACAGTACAGACACGACAATCGGCGTGTCTGTTTTCGTTCTGTCGGTCATCGCAAAAAAGGTACTACTTACCGTGCGTCCATGGAGTGGTGAACCTGGCGATACGGAGGTTTAACCCCATGTTCAACACTATTAGGTTATTTAAGAGGCGGGACCTCAAATTTTAACTTCAATTTCCGAAGTGTCCCGAGACAAAGGAAATCCGTGTAAAGTGCTTTTCCCAAGGACACAACGTCGGAACGAGCTGAGGCTCGAACCTCCGAACCTGCAATCTCGCAATCAGTGGTGAAGCGCCTATATAATCAAATAATCACTGCTTCCCTTCCTAATTTTGAAAAGGTGTAGCAGTCAAATTCACCCATAAACGTAAACCTTATAAATTAAATGTAAAAAAGACGTTCGTAATCAACAATGAACAGTATGCCTAACATTCAAAACGGTTTCACTGCCACAGAAATAGCCTGCTCACCTCTCTCGGGCCACTCCATAAGCAGTCACAAGCTTTAATTAAGTAAGCTTAAAGTGAGGCTGGAAGAGTCTACCTATAGAGTTGAAGGGAATATGTGCATAGAAGTCAAAACTGTTTCATTGCCACATACACCCTGTTCACCCCTTTCGGGAAACAGTTATAATCAGTCAAAAGCTCTGATTATGTAAGTGAACTATTGCACTGGTCGAGTCTACCTTACAGATGTGAGGGGAACTAACTCCTAATAATATCTTTACTCCTGCGAGTGCTTGTTTTTTTCCTCGACTTTTTACCGTCCTATAATCAGATCGTGACCTCGATTATGACACCGGCTCCAGGCCGCGAAAAGCTAGACAAAAACAGCCAAAAGTGAAATTTAAAAAAATGATAATTGTCATGTTCTACCAAAGAGTTAGACTCCCTGGTAGATGCATAACATAAATAGATCTAGTACTGACATCTCTGCTTCCTTGCTTTGGTTTTGTGTATTCACTTCTAAAGTTAAATTTAATTTTACATGTAGTTGGAATTGATATTTAATGAGATGCTTTCCCGATTATTTTGGCGGTTGAATTCCGGATTTGTTTTCATTCACACAACTTAAGAGTTGCTGCCTCGAGTAAAATGCTTGTGTGATATCTCCAGGCCATAATATCTGGTCCCGTTTCATTTTGATTACCCTGTCAAACAAGTCAGCCTTCGCCCCTGCTCGCAATTACGGGCCTTGTAGCCTAACCACTAGGCTATCGAAAAGAGTGTGAAACGTGTACTACAATTTATTATCAAATCTTAGATTGTGTAATGTGACGCATTTCCAGTTCAATATAGAACACACTTTTTTACATTTTTTAATTACCAATCAAAATGCTTCAAACACCAAACTATAACGAGACGAGGATTTTGTCTTTCATTTGGGTGTAATGGCGCTGCCCTTCTGGTATACATTTCGCAGCAAAATGTTAATAGAGAGCAAAGAGCCGCCGTCACAGCTGTGAGCTCCTAGGAGTAGCCTACACAATGAAGTTTAACCCTCTCTTTTTCAACCCAGTTGGCACCTACGGAAAACAAACTTTTTTTAATGTAGAGACAACGTCTCGACCGGACAAGATTTTTTAACAGGCAACCTTACTCTGCTGTGGTAAAAATAACTCTAGATTACTGTCAGCTGCAGTCTTGTATTCATCTGGCATGGATGGCGTGGCAGAGCATAATAATATTATGTCAATATTCAGACATATAATCTGTTTCACTAAGGGAAAAAAGACCACTTCTTTAAAATTAAGGTCTCTTTGATACTTTTCTTACTGAGCTTGTCTCTTCTTTTAAGTCATCATCATCATCATCTTCGTCATCATCATCATCATCATCATCATCATCACCATTACGAAAAAAGCATCAAAGAACAAAAAGTCTTAACACCGGCTGAAGCCAAACCAGAGACAAAAACGGCAGAGAAGTATTTCGTAAACAGCAGCAACTGCAGCAGATTACCCAGTAGTAACAATATATAGTATGATTTAATTAATCAGCAACGGCATGGCTACTGACACCCTTTTCGCTTTTATTCGTCCCCAGGTTTTTGGGGGCTAAATGACCTACTTCTTCGTTCTTACTCGGTTCAGATTCTGATAAATGTTGACCTCAGAGCAGAAGGATGAACTTTTAAACATTCTTCTCAATGTTCTGTCATGTTCATTTAGGCTTCACAGCCAATGTAAGATCGCATTGTAATACAATGATTAAGAGAGAGAGAGAGAGAGAGAGAGAGAGAGAGAGAGAGAGAGAGAGAGAGAGAGAGAGAGAGAGAGAGAAAGAGAGAGAGAGAGAGAGAGAGAGAGAGAGAGAGAGAAAGAGAGAGAGAGAGAAAGATAGAAAGAAGAGAGAGAGAGAGAGAAAGAGAGAGAGACAGAGAGAGAGAGAGAAAGATAGAGAAAGCGAGAGAGAGAGAGAGAGAGAGAGAGAGAGACAAAGAGAGAGAGAGAGAGAGAGAGAGAGAGAGAGAGAGAGAGAGAGAGAGAGAGAGAGAGAGAGAGGGGGGGTGAGAGAAAGGGTGGACGCATTCATCCTAATGCAACGCTTGAGAAATCAATTTCAACTGGCAAACAAAGACCCAGGATGAGGCGAAAAGACTTAGAAATGACAGTCTGAACTTTTTCATGACTGTTTTTCTTCGTTTAAAATATAGGAACCTTCGTGCTAGCGACCCAGATTGTCGTCTAAAACTGCAGCCCCATCACATCCAGCACAGACTTCACATGGCACAGCATCACGTGGGTTGGCCAAGGCTAAATCAACCAAATTCTCGAGCCCAAAGTACTTTTCTTTTCAAAATCAAGACCAAGGACCATTATTCATGCATGATAAT